AATATTCCACATTTTCCCCACTAGACTGTAAACTTCCAGAGAACAAGGGATGCTGTTCTTTTCATTTACTGCCATTCTTGCAGCTGCAATAAATAGCCCAAATGCAGGTGGGATGGTAGCAGTACCCCACCCCATACCCAATCCGAGGTCCCCCCAAGTATCAGCCCTTCGTACATCTGCCTCCACCCAAAGCACACCTCGCGTTCACTCCCAGCCCTTCCCGCTGCACCGGCCCAGTAGAAGAAAGCAAGGGAGGGTAACCCCTTTTCTTCCCCATCGGGGAGGGAGACCTTCAGAGGCTCCACCAGCACCGGGAAAAGCAAACAGTCAGGTGCCAGTAAGCCTTGAGTTCGATTCCCGGACTCTGTCACTTACTAGAGGGAGCTCTTTTGGCCTGGTTATTTAATCTCCCGCGTCTGGAGAGCCCCAGTGGCGGGGTGAGGGTGCGGTGCCAGGCAGGTGATGGCTGTGAAAGGGCTTCTGCCTGCTGGAACGCGCCGTGGGAGACCGCGGGTGACCGTGACACACAGAAGGCGCCCCGCGCACCCCCGCCGCCGCCGCTCCAGCACCAGGGCCGCGCGGGGCGCTAATAGGCTTCGTGCTCACGGCGGGGGCGCGGCCGGCCGCCCTGATGTCGAAACAGAGGAAGCGGTCACGGTCGGGCCCAGGGCCGCGGGGAGGGGGCCCAGGGTTTGTCTTCCGCTCGTTCCTTTTCGGTGGTCTCGGGAGGTCTCATTCCCTGCCTCCACTCTAGTATTGCTCTTCCCTCTGTCAAGTAAACCAAGCCGGCTTCCAGCCCTTCTGCGGCCAGGCGTGCGCCACCGCCACCCGCATCCCCGGCCGAGGTCGCTGGGCAGACACGGCAGAGTGCAGGATGGGCTGTGCTCCGAGGGTCCGGGAAAGAGCCCAGCGCAGGCTGGAAATCCCAAGAGTACCTGAAAGCAGGGGAATCTGGAGCGAAGCCCCAGCCGAGTGGGAACTGGGAAGTGAAGTAGGCCACAGTGGCACCAGAGGTACGGAGCCCAGTCTAATGTGACTGGGGTGCAGCGACCCTGTGTGCAGTTTAGAAAGTAGGTTGGAAGCTACAGTGTGGAAGACCTTAATACCAGGCCAAATAAATTAACTGTGATTCCTGAGGCACTAGTGAGCCATTGAAGGTTTCATTCCTAATTCTCTGTAAGAGAACTATAAGCATAGTGGTTAACTCCATGGATGCTGAAGTTACAGCAGCCCTGGCTCAAGGTCTGTTTCCACCACTTATGACCCGTGCGATGGGCAGTCTGACTTCTCTGTGCTTCCATTTTCTTGTAAAATAATGATGATAGCAATAGGAAATGGTAAAGGACTACTGGGAAGATTAAATAAAAAAGCATTTGCAAAACTCTTAGCACAGGGCCAGGCATGGTGGCGCATGCCTGTAATCCCAACACTCAGGAGGCTGAGGCAGGAGGATCGTTGTGAGTTCGAGGCCAGCCTGGGCTACAAAGTGAGTTCAAGACCAGCCTGAACTGCATAGTGAGACCCTGTCTCAAAAAGACAAAAAAAAAAAAAAAAAACTCTCTTAGGCCAGTGCCTAGCACACAGTAAGTGTACCAGAGCTCTTATTTTGCATCCCCTGTCTTCCTTTGTCTGATTAGACCTTAAAGACAGCAACATAATTTCTCAAACGTCACCTCAGCTATCAAAAGACAAGAAGGGGACTAAGAAGAGCCTAGTGTCATGTCACACACCTACAATCCCAGCTACTTGAGAGGCTGAGACAGGAAGATCCCAAATTCAAGGCAAGCCTGAGCAAAGTAGTGAAATTTCATCTTAAAATTTTAAAATAATACAATTAATTAATTAAAATAAAAATGGCTGGAGGTGTAGCTCAGTGATGGTAGAACTCCCCTAGGTTCAAGCCCCAGTACTAGGGGAGGGGACAAGGAAC